ACATTTTTGTATTGTATCAACATATGCCCTGACTGCTCTTGATTTTACTGGGATGCCTCCTTCCTCTAACAATTTACTTAACACTCTTTCAGTTTGTTTTTTACTAATTTCTGATCCCATATTTCTACTATAATACAACCCAACAAGATGACGCCAAACAAAACCGAGACAGAATGAAATAAAAAGGGAACAACAAAAAGTCATTATAGCCTTTCTATCCTCCTGACATGGGCATCCGTCCTTTCTCCCTATCTGTTCCTCAGACGTAAATAGTTTTTCCTCAGATGTGAGCGGTTTTTCTTCCGTCTCACTCATCTCCAGGGACAGGCAACTTAAAACAAAAGTGAAGCAAAATAAAAGAGGAATCTTAAAATGGCTACCCATCCTCTCGCCCTGCCCTCAGGGGCGAGCAGTTTCACTTACCCTCAGTCGCTCCCCGTGCGAGCCACCAAATGCCGCAGTCTGGCTGGGCACAATCAGGAGCCACTTGTCAAAAGAAACTAACTTTATTTTTAGAACCACACACGCCAAACAAAACAGCCTCTCAGGAAAAACCCTCAGAGCCTCAACTGCCACCACCGGCTTTCCACAAGCCTCTCTCTCCCACACCAGCTTCTCTCCACCTCCCACAATCCTCCTGCTCTTGAGGCCGATTGGCTGGGTCATGTGGGCGGAGCCAAAAAAGTCCCCCAATGAGCAGCTCCGTGGTCTGAAAGGGCAGGGAAACAGCCCAATGAGCATCACCGCAGAGGAGCCAATCAGCTAGATGTTGCTGGGGCCGCTGTGAGTCAATCATCAGCCGGCAGCTGGAAGTTTGCTGGCAGCTGGAAGTTTGCTGGGGCCCCTTTGGCTGTGGCTCTCAATATTACTGAAAAAAGTATAGATGTATTGACCAATGAAATAGAATTAAAAGTCTGAAATTAAACACATTCCTCAGTTGATTTTCTACAGGGATTAATGACAATGGGGATAGGACAGCCATTCCAATAAATGATATTGAAACAACTGGTTAAACACATGCAAAAGGATAAAGTTGGACTCCTGCCTCACACCATATACAAAAATAAATTCAGAGTGACCACTAACTGTAAATTAAAAGGTAAAGCTATACATTTTTTTTTATTTTTATTGTTGGTTCTTGATATATCATATTTCACACTTTGATTCAAGTGGGTTATGAACTCCCATTTTTACCCCGTATACAGATTGCAGAATCACATCAGTTACACATCCATTGATTTACATATTGCCATACTAGTTTCTGTTGTATTCTGCTGCCTTTCCTATCCTCTACTATCCCCCCTCCCCTCCCCTCCCCTCCCCTCTTCTCTCTCTGCCCCCTCTACTGTCATTCATTTCTCCCCCTTGTATTATTTTCCCCTCACTTCCTCTTGTATGTAATTTTGTATAACCCTGAGGGTCTCCTTCCATTTCCATGCAATTTCCCTTCTCTCTCCCTTTCCCTCCCACCTCTCATCCCTGTTTAATGTTAATCTTCTTCTCATGCTCTTCGTCCCTACTCTGTTCTTAGTTACTCTCCTTATATCAAAGAAGACATTTGGCATTTGTTTTTTAGGGATTGGCTAGCTTCACTTAGCATAATCTGCTCTAATGCCATCCGTTTCCCTGCAAATTCTATGATTTTGTCATTTTTTTAATGCAGAGTAATACTCCATTGTGTATAAATGCCACATTTTTTTTTATCCATTCTTCTATTGAAGGGCATCTAGGTTGGTTCCACAGTCTTGCTATTGTGAATTGTGCTGCTATGAACATCAATTTAGCAGTGTCCCTGTAGCATGCTCTTTTTAGGTCTTTAGGGAATAGACCAAGAAGGGGAATAGCTGGGTCAAATGGTGGTTCCATTCCCAGCTTTCCAAGAAATCTCCATACTGCTTTCCAAATTGGCTGCACCAATTTGCAGTCCCACCAGCAATGTACAAGTGTACCCTTTTCCCCACATCCTCGCCAGCACTTGTTGTTGTTTGACTTCATAATGGCTGCCAATCTTACTGGAGTGAGATGGTATCTTAGGGTGGTTTTGATTTGCATTTCTCTGACTGCTAGAGATGGTGAGCATTTTTTCATGTACTTGTTGATTGATTGTATGTCCTCCTCTGAGAAGTGTCTGTTCAGGTCCTTGGCCCATTTGTTGATTGGGTTATTTGTTATCTTATTGTCTAATTTTTTGAGTTCTTTGTATACTCTGGATATTAGGGCTCTATCTGAAGTGTGAGGAGTAAAGATTTGTTCCCAGGATGTAGGCTCCCTATTTACCTCTCTTATTGTTTCTTTTGCTGAGAAAAAACTTTTTAGTTTGAGTAAGTCCCATTTGTTGATTCTAGTTATTAACTCTTGTGCTATGGGTGTCCTATTGAGGAATTTGGAGCCCGACCCCACAGTATGTAGATCGTAGCCAACTTTTTCTTCTATCAGACAGCATGTCTCTGATTTGATATCAAGCTCCTTAATCCATTTTGAGTTAACTTTTGTGCATGGCGAGAGAAAGGGATTCAGTTTCATTTTGTTGCATATGGATTTCCAGTTTTCCCAGCACCATTTGTTGAAGATGTAAAGCTATACATTTTTTAGGAAAGGATATATGAGTGAATCTGTTACCTTGGGCAAGGCTAAAGTTTTAAAAATATGACAACAAAAGAAAAAATAGCCAAATTTGACTTGATCAAAATTGACAACTTCTGAATTTGTGATGATAACATCAAGAATGTAAAAGACAACTCACAAAATGAGAGAAAATATTTGCTAATCTTATATAGGGTAAGGGGCTTATATATAGGTTATTTAAACTTACATCTCAATGATAAAAAAAATTAAAGAATGGGTAAAGGATCCAAATAGACATTTCTCTGTAGAAGATATACCAATGGACAATAATCACATAAAAATATTCAAAATTATTAGTCATTAGAGAAATGCACATCACAACCACAACATACTACTGCACATCCACAGGATTGCTTTAATCAAAAAGACCAGAAGTATTGACAAGAATGTGGAGAATTTGGCACCCTCATTCATTGTTGGTGAGACTGTAAAATGGTTCAGACCACTTTGGAAAACAGTTCTATAAATTGCAAAACAGAGTTACTACAAAACTCAGCAAACTTACTCCTAGATACACACACACACACACACATATGAGAAAGGAAAATATATGTCTACACAAAAACTTGTAATTAATAATAGGCAAAGATTGGAAACAACCCAAATGTCCATCAACTAATGACTGGAAAAATATGATGTGTATCCACATAAGGGAATATTGTGTACCCTAGAACATAAATGGACTTTGAAAACATGCCAAGTAAACATGTCACAAAAGACTTTATATTGTATAATTCTGCTTATGTAAACTATCCAGAATGGGCTAATTATGGGGAGAAAAAAGTAGATTAGTAGTTGAGAGGCAAAATGGGGAAATTTAGGAGATATGGCTATAGGTTATGAGGTTCCTTTTCAGGGTGATGAAAATGCTCTAAAAGTGATTGTGAGGAATTGGGGGTGTAGCTCAGTGGTAGACATGTGCAAGGCTCTGGTTTCAATCCCTAATCCCTACCCACCAACACATACACAAAAGTGGTTGTGGTGACCGTTGCACAACTCTGAATATGCTAAAAATCAATGAATTTTACATTTTAATTGAAAAATTTTGTAATCTATAAATTATATATCAATAAAGCCATTTTACAAAAGTTTTCCCTACCCATGCAGGAAGATGTGTATTATTCTTACAGTTTAAGTTTGAGGGCCTCCCCTTTTCCCAAGAGTTTATTGATTAACATCATTTTATCAATTTGATTATTCCTATGTTCCTAATTCCACACTTGTAATTTTTTGGAGGGTGTTATTAAATCCAGGTGCACTTTAGCAATGAGATACATCCTCAGTCCTAAGTTGCTAAGGTTCTTATTAAGTTGCTGAGACTGACCTCAAATTTCAGATCCTCCTTCAACGTCCAGATTGCTGTATTACAGGCCTGTGCCACTGTGCCTGGCCCATACTTGTGATTTCTCTTATTACTTCTGCTTGGTGTCTTTATCTCTTCTACTTATTAGCCATTGTATGTTTTAAGTAAAGATTATCTAGGGGAACTGGGGTTGTGGCTCAGAGGAAGAATGCTCACCTAGCATGCGTGAGGCACTGGGTTCGATTCTCAGGACTGCATAAAAGTAAATAAGTGAAATAAAAGTATTGTGTCCACCTACAACTAAAAAATAAATGTTAAAAAAAGATTATCTAATATCTCTTACCAATACTAACCACCTTTTAATATTATAATGATAGCTAGTCCCTGGAAATCCAAATGCTCATTGGTTATTTAGTGGGTCCTGTTTTTAAACAACCTATTAAGATTCTTGTGGTTCCTTTTATCTGGTTTGATTCAAATATGCAATGGCTGCAAAATTATTCTTGATAGATTTTGATGACATAATTTACATATTTTTTGGAAAATGATATGCATGTATTTTTCAAAGTCTTATAAAGTTATGTTGACACTTTGAGTTTAAATGTTAATATTAAAATGATTGTTTGCCATATACAATATGTTAGGAATTGTTTCAAGCTTTAGTACATTAGAGTATCAAAAGCATACCTATTCTGCCTGACATGGTGGCATAAGCCTATAATCCTAGCAACTCTGGAGACTAAGTCAGGAGGATCACAAGTTTAAGTCCAGCCTAGGCAAGTTAGTGAGGTTCTGCCTCAAAATAAAAAAATAAAAAAGAAGTAAGGATATTATCAGTGCCCCAGGGTTCAATCCATAGTGAGACAGACATATAAATGTGCACAGACATATACACACACAGAGACAAAAAAAATCTATCTATATCTACATGTGCCTATTCTTAATAATGTTATAGTTTATTTTGAAGAGTGGTTTCAGAGACAAGTGTGAAAAATTCAGGATTAGTCATAAAATTATTAAGAAAATTTTTAGGGGAATGAAACTTGTTTAAAAAATTATTCTTTCTTTTTAGGTACAAAACTCAAAACATGAACAACAGTACATATTACCAATGTTCAAAGTTGATTTGGCTAGAACTGCGATACAGTTGGCTACGACTTATTCCAGAGGAATTATAAAAGTCAAAGTGATGGACAACAGAAAAGAGCCTCCATTCTTCAATGAAGATAACGTGGGACCATATTACTATAAACTTTCTTTCTGTGATACCATGGAACTCTTCATTGAAACATTGACTGGAACTTGTTTTGAGCTGAGAGTTTCACCCTTTGAAGCTGTTATTTCTGTGAAAGCAAAAATTCAAAGATTGGAAGGTACTAGTCTTTCTATATTTTTAGGTTGTAAGGATTAAATTTGCTTATCAGAAAAGTATAAAAAGTTTTAAAGTTTTTTTAATGGAGAAAATTTCAAGCATATGTTAGAATTGATAATGAATCCCAGTGAATCCTCACTTTTCTTCAATTTCCAATTCATGAACCTATCTCCTTTCCATTCCTGTTTTCTTTCCATCTTGTTCCTTTCCACCAAATTCCTTTGAAGCAGATCTCTAGCATTGTGTTAATGGTGCAAAATCATATTTGAAAATAATTTTTAGCACATGCAAATTTTGACATGCAAATTTTGTCATAACCATATTATTTAATTTTAATGGGAAATAATAATTGTGTTCCCTTTTAGTGACTTGCTTATTACTTACCTTTTTTGCAGGGATGGGGGTGCTACTGGGGATTGAACTCAGGGGCATTTGGTCACTGAACCACATCCCCAGCCCTATTTTGTATTTTTATTTAGAAACAGGGTCTCACTAAGTTACTTAGTACCTTACTTTTGCTGAGGCTGGCTTGGAACTCGTGATCCTCCTGCCTCAGCCTTCTGAGCTACTGGGATTACAGGCATGCGCCACTGCCCAGCTTACTCACGATTTTATACTGCTTTGTTAAATCCTTCTACCCTCTAATATGGAGATTTTCTGAGAAAAGCTTTAAGTTTTCAATTACATATAGTTTGAAGTTCCTTTAGTATAGCAGGGATATTGGATAAGGTATAATATCTCTTTTTTGTGATTTATCTATGAAAATTATTTTGTGTTAAAATTAGTTTTTTTATTTGTACTTTGCATATTCTGAAATAAGTTATAACAAAATTTATAGTTGTTAAAATCTAGATTTGACTGGGAATTAAATTGTTCCATATAACACTAAGTGGATCTTTGTCAGTGGAGCTAGTTGGATCTTGCTTATAATACAAAGGTCATAATTAGGGTCCCCCTTTGACCAGTTGAAATTCAGAATTATAGAAGGATCAGCAAGAAAGAAAATTTTCATTTTTGTGGGATCAAGGATCCTGGTTTCTGAACTTCTGAGTATTTGCTACTACTCTAGCCCTGAGGGAGTTCTTCGTAGTAGTGATTGAGTCTAGTAACCATATCCGTGCATCTAGTAATGGCGCGTGTAGATTTTGTACTACCAAATGATTTGGTGAGATCCAGAGTCAGAATAGTTTATTTAGACTTTGTTCGGCTTCATTCATATATATGTATGTGTGTGTGTGTGTGTGTGTGTGTGTATGTATGCATATATATATATATATAAGCAAATATATATTCATATATATATATATATATGTATATATATATATGCATACACACAGTGATATCTTTTTCAATGCAAGAATATAAAAGCCCTTTTTTAATCCAAATATCCTTAATTTTTTTTAACCTTATTCACACATTTTAAGCCGTCTTTGTGTGGCAAAGCACTTTAGAGGGCATCCTGTTTCAGTCTTTTAGTGTTGGAAGAGTGTACTTGGGTTTAGAGACATTTAGGAATTCATTTAAGAGAAGAATTTAATTATTGTCAGAATCAGAACAAATAATATAGACGTTTTGTCTTCCGTAGGAGATATTGCTGGGGTAAAAGCAGTGGCTTATAGCTATTAGACAATTGAATCCCATTTTAAACATTATAAAACAAATGCAGTGATTGGAAAATTAAGGTAATATGTAAAATATCTACTGTCTTAGTCTCCTGGGGCTGACATAACAAAATACTGTAGATTGGGTGACTTAAAACAGCAGAAGTTATTTTCTGTCAGTCTAGGTATCAGCATGCTTGGATTCTGTTGAGGGCCGTTATCTTAATCTGTTTTCTGTTGCTAATAACAGCACTACAGGTTGGTTAAGTTATAAAGAAAAGATGGCTTATTTTGGCTCACAGGTCTGGCCAAAGATTGAGAGGCAGAGTCCCTAGATAGGCTCAGGGCATCACATGGCAAGAGGCAGGATAGCATCTAAGTTTGTGTCTGGTCTCTTTCCCTCTTCTTATAAAACCACTAGTATTCAATCATGATGATTTTATCTAATCCTAATCATCCCAGAGGCCCCACCTCTATACACCAGTCAGTTTGAATTTCTGCCCTCTTAATCTCTTAGATAGGAATAAAATTTTTGTTTCACAGGGGACAGACCATATTCAAATCATAACAGCCTCTTCCTATCTTGCAGACTTCTCATGCATTATTACTGTGACTTCAAGTGATGTGCACGTAGGCATGCGCACATCACACACACACACACACATATACACACAGACACATGCATACAGAGAATAAACAAGTTCTTTGGTATCTCTTGTAAGGACACTAAGCCATCAGGAGGTAACCATCATCATTACCCTGTATAATCCTGATTAATTCCCAAAGGCATTATCTCCAAGTAGCATCATCATAGTAAGGGCCAGGGCTTCAGTGTATTAATGGCAGGCAACAGAATTCAGTGCATAGCACCTGCCACTAGTGAAGTAGAGGTAGATCTTAAATCCCTCCTCCTATGCCCATTTCCCATTCTCACCCCCCTTATCCCTTTCTTTCCTGCTCTTGTCCAGAATTTCTCATAGCATCTTTTAGCCCAGAGGTACTGACAGTCATTTTGTTCTTCAGGAAGCTTCAAGAAGGTAGCCTTTGTGATAAATAAATTCTAATCCTTTCCTGGGTGAGCTTTATACTTTCACTCTGAAAGTCATTTGGGGACAATGTGGTAAGATTCTTCAGATTGTAGATATAAAATAGAGAGGACAAAGGTGACACTAGTCAGATTAATCCTGCAGGGAAAACAGATCTTTTCCTTTTGGACAGTCTCTGGTGAATTCAGAACTAGAGCCTAGAGAAAGACAGGAAGGAGGATGGAAGGAATTTGTGGAGAAAAGGTTGCAAGAGAGCACTGGATTAGGAATAATTAAACTGTAGCAAAGTAGGGTTGGTTCTTGCAAGGGGATTTTAGCTGGGCCTTGAAGGAACAGAAGTGCCTGGTTTCACATTACTAGCCGAATTACTTAACTTCTCTATATCTTAGTTATTCCAATTTAAAATGAGAATAATAATGGTACTAATCTCAAAAGATGTTCTCATGTTTACATGAGTTAATAAATGCTAAGTGTTTAGCATAGTGCCTGTGGTCTTTATCAAAGGAAAAATAGTTAGTCTGGAGATAGTACTATGTGTACCCAAGAATGTATGCACTATACACTTGGAAAGAGACTTAGCTTAGCTCTTTGACTTTCCATAGAAGGGAAATTCTTAGGACAGCGGTCTGCAAAAGAGAGTCTATCCCTTCCAGATGATGTGAAAATAATGCAGTGGAGTTGGGAAATAAAAATGTGTCAAGAAATGTAAAGGATTATTTGTTGCAGTGGATTACATGGATTTGCCATCTAATCTTGCCATTACTGCTCCTTGCTAGAGATTTATTTTCTGTGCATAGAATAGGATGGTTTTCCTGGCCCTTTTTGAGTAGATGGGACCATAAGTATTAGTTTTGGCCAATCAGCTATGAATAGAGAATCATTTCTACACATTATTGCTCCATCAACCTGGATCTCTGAGTGACTATAGTGAGCATGGTTCCCTTACTGACATGTAGTGAACTTGTAACAATGAATGAGAAATATTTTAAACCACTTTTACTATTTTTTTTGAAGAGTTGCCACTTCAGCATAACCTACTTTATTCTGACCTTATGTCGTATAGGGACCTAATTTTTTCCCTACATAGATAATTGGTTGTCTGAATACTACCACTTATTGAATATTTTCTCATTAAAATAATATCGTGCCCATCATGTATCATATATATATTTATATAATATGTGTGTGTGCACGTGTGTGTGTGTGTGAGTGAAAAATGATAATCTGATCTGTTTATCTGTCTCTCCCTACGTCAGTATTACACTGGCTTATTTACTATAAGTCCTTTTTTATTACTACTTTTAATTGACAAATATTGCATATATTTATAGTGTACAACATGATGTTGACATATGCATGCACTGTGCAATGTTCACAATCAAGCCAATAACTTATGCATTACCTCACTGAGTTCATTATCTTTTTGGCATTATGACAAAATACCTGAGAAAAATGGAGGATTTTATTTTTTCTCAGTTTTAAGGGTTAACTGTAAGTTTTCACAACATATTGTTAAATATGTTATTCAAAATTGTCTTATCTATTCATGTTACTAACCCTGAATTATTTTGCAGAACTTTGCCTGTAAAATTGTCTGAACCTGATAAGCTCTGGATATTGGGAAAGACAAAGAACATTTATTTTAGAGAGTTGTTGTTTTAATTTTCTCAGCAGTGATTCTAATAATTCTTAGAAATCCTTATAAATAACTGATTAATATGGCTTCTTCATATCATTTTATTACAGTTTACTTCTGTCTCTCAGCTACTGTTTCAGGGATCATCTTTAGCCCAGCCTAATTTACTGCATATGATTATGTTATAGGATCTAAAAATGATCATACATTATAACAACAAACCTAACAGTTGCCCAAGGCCATACATATTTTTAATCCTCCCAGTCAATTATAAACATATGCTTTTCTGGAAAATTGTCTATTTGCCTATATTTTCTAATTTATCACATGAATTTTTAAAGTAGTCTCTTATGTTTTCAAATTTCTGCCGTGTCTATTATTATGCTGCTTTTTCATTCTATATTTATGCCTTCTCTCTTTTTGACAGTCTTGCCAGGAGTTTTTCTGTTTTATTGGTTTTTTCAAAGACAGTTTTCATCTCTGTTGTATTTTTAATTTTATTAATGTCTGCATTTGGCCTGCCTTTGACTTGTGCATATTCTATACCTTTTTTTTTCTTTTTTGGGGGGAGGGGCGGGTACTCGGGATTGAACTCAGGGGCATTCAACCACTGAGCCACATCCCCAGCCCTCTTTATATTTTATTTAGAGGCAGGATCTCACTGAGTTGCTTAGCTCCTCACTTTTGCTGAGGTTGTCTTTGAACTCGTTATCCTCCT